TACTTTGCTTTTACTTTAATTATTGTTAGTTTAATCATATATATAATCAATGTTAATTCAAAGTATAACTAAATAGTTTTATTTTGAACAAAGTATTGGTGAATTAAATAAATCAAACAATTATAACTCCGCCCACAAATAAACTGCTAAAGAAATACTTTATTTACCAGTTTTATATTTTTACCCTGATTGATACGGTTTTATGCTGTCACGTATTTGTGACAGTCGGCGCGAAAGGGTTAAAGAAGGGAACTAAAAAAAGAAGGGAATACGCACACGGCTAAACTCCTTTACTACAGTTGCATTCCACAACCTCAACGAAGCACCACTCAGTTCAAGCTCAATATGAATGGGAAAAGGCATCAGGTGCCCTGATACTTTATACAGTTCAAGTTTAACATGGCTAAACTCTCCTCAGTGAGGATTTTTAAAGTTTCCTAGATTCCCATCCGTAACCCTTTGACGCAGAATTTTTATCAAAAATATTTTTCATTATTTGGTATTAATTTAGGACAAAATAATTGAAAAATGTTATAATTAGCATTTTGATAATTTGTAGTTACGAAATACAGAATGAAACACCAGTGTATTTTTCCGAAAATTCTAACCGGTGTATTTTTCTGAGAATTTTCCAAACACAGCTCAATTCCAATAAATTTTCAAATTTGCACTTATTTGCTATTACTTGACTCTGAAAGAAATAGTTATTCATCTTGGAAATTTCATTAGTTTTTTGAAAATTAATTATTGATAAATATTTATATATAAATGAAAAAAAAATTAATACTACTTTTCTTGTATTTAGTGCAAATGTAATTCCGATAAAGTAACGGATCTTTTTCAGTAATTGATTGACTGTTTTTTTTAAGTAAGAAATATCAAAATTTATTTTCGTTTGTCATTAGAGCGTTAGAAAAAAATATATATATATAAATGAGGGTCACCGGTATTCGATCTGCTTCAAGGGTCTGCTCCACCAAATCTAAAACTATTTAATTTTCGTTTCTATTTTTTATCCACCGTCCAAACTAGCATATGAATATGACTGCAAAAGCATTAAGAGCAGCACTCTAGCTCATTTGCAGAAACTTTAGTGAGAGTCCTGCCGTCATAATTGTTTAAATAATCCCTGAAAGAATGTAACCTTACGGCAGCATTGTGTCTTAATTTTCTTTTTATTGTAACTTTAATGTTTGTACTGAAAACCTTTTTCAAATCAAGCAAAAATATTACAGTTTCAAACCTTTCATCCCAAAGTGATTACAAATTATAAAAAACTTTTTTTAAAAAGTATTGTCATTTAGGTATAATGGTCACTTAGGTTCGTAATGCCGTTTTAGCTGACGTCACACTAGCGATAGGATCAAATTGCGATGTCATTAAAATTTCATGACAAGGTGGATTTTAGCTGAGCATACAAGAAGCTGCAAAAAGAAGCCTTACAATTACCTAAATTTAAGAATATTTTATTAAATAATTTTTTTACGTTTAGACAACCTCGATTTAAGGTTTTTATACATAAGGTTGTTTTCCAAGGTTTTGGATTAGGGTAACGTGCGTAGAATAGAACAGATGGTCACAGATCTCGTTTTGAGGTTAGAAGGCTTGCACATAAACTGCAAAACAAACCTTGTTAGGTGTACAATAAAAGGGTTTTGGTGAATTAAAATAAACCTTTTTTGCTATATGGGTCTGGGGAGTTGGGGAGCGAAGCAAGCAGATTCGGAGCTTCCAAATATTTTAAACAACAGATAAAGTTTTATTTACTGCAACTTGATTCGTCACTGTCATCTTCGCAGTCAGATATTCCATCACATACGCCTGATTTTAGGATGCATTGGCCGCTTCTACATCGAAATTCGGTTTCTGAGTCACATACTCTGGCATGACAATCGCGTTCGTCACTGTTATCCTCGCAATCTTCGTCTCCGTCGCAAACATACAATTCTTTAATACACTCTCCATCGCCACACCGAAATTTGTCTTGACAATCTGTAAGAAAAAAAAATCTTTAAAATAAATATCGATTCCAGTTATGGAAAAGTAGGCTAATAATAGGTAAGAGAACCAAAACCTTTAATTTTTTAACAATATTCTATGATTTATTATTATTTTTTATTTACTAGTGGGCTGCGCCCCCTGCTCGCTAACGCTCGCCAACCCCCGAAAATTGCTACGCAATCTTATATGGTTTGCTTCTCAAACCAAGCTCGCTTCGCTCGTTTCTAACTTAGGTGCATTGCAAATGTACAAAATTCTAAGAATTCAAAACAATCATTCAAACCCATATAACAACTTTCTTTTTAAAAAAATTACATCTTTTTAGCAAATACTAAGTCATTAAAATAAATTTGAATTCAAATAAGTGACATGTAATTCGTTAAACCTATTAGAAACTTGCTGTAGTATAAAATCTTAAGACAAAAATTTCCAAAACTGATATCTCTTTAAAAAGGTTAAACTTTTGCCTATAATTAAGTCTATTAAAAATTGAAATAGGTGAATTGCAATGGAAAAACCTGCATAAACAAATAAATTCTAGTGAAACAGATAAATTCGTGATACAAATCACAAGTTGGTCAAATAAATTCGTAATATATAAATTCGTGAAAAAAAGCGCTTTCGACAAAATACTAAAATAGAGATCTATCCATAAAGACTACTCACTTCTGCCTAGCTTATGCTCTCTCTGGTTATTTCAGTTTCCGTTTTTAAAAGCGCTATTTGTTGAGCCATCTCAGCAAGATTTGGCAATCATTGGTCGATTTTCTAGCGTTGCCATTCGGGGAGTTGTAATGAGGCATTTTTTTGTCGCCATGTAAGAGAAACATATATATAGATTTTCGCTGGAAGTAAAACAGTTAGCTTGCTTTGCTTTCCTTATAGTTGGTTTTCTTTATTTTTTCCCCATTCATAACATAAACTATAAACCTTCGATCTCAATCCCTTAAGTAAAAAACGTTTTCATATTATTTTGTATGAATTTGTACTAAGTTTATTTCGTGCGAGAAACATTTTTTTACTAATATCTAGCTATTTTGCAGGTCAAAAAGAAATTAATTTAAAGAATGACATTTTGACGTTATTTTACCCATTATCAACTCTCGTGACTTCCTTAATTATTGATCAATTTTCCCGTTTATATCGTTTATAGGAAATGTCATGTAACATATATTTCGTATAAACTTTCTTTTTTGTATCCAATGATTTCTGTAGTATTGTAGTGTATCTATCACTACAAAAATACAATTCCAATTCGTCAGTATATAAGACATGTTAACCTGATTCTATGATGGGGTACCTTTTCATAGATGAAGGTTAACATTGTCGATATCTACTGCCTCCACATAGGTGACCTTCTTACATGTGTGATGTGAACTCACAATTCGATCTGAACACGCCAACTGCGATGGATGGTCCACTTTGAACAATTGACTTGCAACTTGTGACTGCAACATTATCAACCTCCTCGCGCTGTTGCTACTCAGTCTCGATCACACACAACGCCGGCCTGCATACACCTTACTGCTAATGACAACGCAGGAGCAACCCCAACCGTGCACTTAATACAGCTCTCATGATCAGCAAAATGTACGGTGATCTTAATACAACTCTACCGACTTCTCACAAAACAGCAATGAATCTACTAGAAGTGTCTGTTCATCGAATTCTATCAGAGATATAATTCTGGTGGGGGAGTACTGTAGTGTATCTACTACTACAAAACTACAATTCTAATTCGTTAGTATATGAAACATGTTAACTCGATTCCATGATGGGGTACCTTTTCATAGATGAAGGTTAAAATTGTCATTATCTACTACCTCAGCAGTATTTTTATATACTAAAAAAAGATGAGATCTTAACTAACGTAAAAAAGGGAATACGCACACGACTAAACTTGCCTCAGTGAATATTTTTCATGTTTCTCAGATTCCCTTCTGTAACCCTTTGGTGCAGAATTTTTATAAAAGATATTTTTCATTATTTGGTATTAATTTAGGTCAAAATAATTGAAAAATGTTATATTTAGCATTTTGATAATTTGTAGTTATGAAATACGGAATGAAACACCGGTGTATTTGTCTGAGCATTTTAATCTGTGTATTTGTCTGAAAATCTTCCAAACACAGCTCACTTCCAATATTTTTTCAAATTTACACTTATTTGCCATTACTTGACTCTGAAGGAAATAGTTATTCAATTTAGAAATTTCTTTAGTTTTAAAAAATCAATTATTGATAAATGTTTGAATATGAATGAAAAAAAAATTAATTCTACTTTTCTTTTATTTCCACCGTCTTGTTTTTTCCACCGTCCAAACTGACATATGAATGTGACTGCAAAAGCATTAAGATCAGCACTCTAGCTCATTAGCAGAAACTTTAGTGAGGGTCCTGCCGGCATAATCGCTTAAATAATCCTAGAAAACCTTGCGGCAGCCTTGTGTCAGAATTTTCTTTTTATTGTCACAAAAAGGTTTGTACTAAAAACCTTTTTTCAAATAAAGCAAAAATATTGCAGTTTCAAACCTTTCATCCTAAAAGGATTAAAAATTATAATTTGAAACCTTTTTTAAAAAAGTATTGTCAGTTAGGTATAATGGTTACTTGTGTCCATGATGACGTTTTAGCTGACGTCACACTAGTGATAGGATCAAATTTCTTTGTCCATTTAAAGTTTCATGACAAGGTGAATTTTAGCTGAGCACACAAGATTTCGCGAAAAGAAACCTTATCCTGTCTTTAACCCTAGATTTATGATTATTTTCACCTTGAGATTAGCTTTATTAAAGCTTTTTTTCACGTTTGAAAACCCTAAGTGAACTTCGATTTAAGTGTTTTATTTAGTATGCTGTTTTCCAAGGTTTCGGATCAGGGTAATGTGCTTAAAATAAAGCAGATTGTCACAGATTTCGCTTTAAGGATAGAAGGTTTACACGTAAACAGCATTACAAACCTTTTTAGTTTTACATGAAAACGTTTTTGCTAAGTGAAAATAAACCTTATTTTGCTATCTGGAAATTCGACTTGCTAAAGCATCTATTGCGGGTGCGTTCTCTATGAATTTCAATCATTTTCTGACCGTTACAATTAGAATTTATAGTGAAATTATCACCACTACCTAGTTTGACCTCATGTCGAAAAGTGTTCAAAATTGAACTGCGTTCTGAGCTAGATGAATAGGCTTGCTTCAGTTTTTCATTCACTAACAAGCAGAATTTATAGCGCCATTTTTGCCGCCAAATAGAATTTATCGTCAATCGCAATTTCGACAAAATTTTCTAGCGAGAGTACTTAAATTTCAACTGATCATGAAACCAATACTACTTGCATTTGTTTTCTAAATAATACAAGTGAGCTTTATTGTCCTTTTTATGGCCAATCAGAATTTTGATAGCTTTTGCTTTGTCACAATCTTCTAATTAAACAGACATTAAAATAAAAAAACTACAAAAAACTAACTGAAAAAAGGAAGAAAAAGAAGAAAGTAAAAATTTAAAACACATTTCTCTGAAAGACTAAAAAGGGACAATAAATCTATTTTTGACAGACGAAAAAGGTAAAAAAGTTTGGTTCACTTTCATAATAGCCGTCAAACAAAGCGTCCAATAAATTGTAACTTTAACAACTTGGTTAATTCTATTGCGTAAAACATTAGGGAAAAAAAGAAGAAGAAAAAAAAACATAGCTTAAGACATTTTTGTTTGTATGCTTTTACACTGCATAAAAATTTAATTCAATTTACCGTCTTTGGTAAGAATTTTTAATTACAAAGAAAAATTATAAGAAAAATAAGAGATTAAATACAATAAATCTTTCGAGCATGCAAGCACCTTATTATTGAGTTGCGTTTCACGATCAAAATGCGAAGAAAAATATCCGACACTGAGCAAAAAATTTCTAAAAGCTAAAATGAATCATTTTTATGTAATAATTAAACATGACCAAAAATTATTTAAATTAATTTATTGAATTTAAAAAAAGCTTTTATCACATTTATGAGTTTACTTGCCTGAATTTCATTATTTAAGTAGAAATCGCATTTTTTCCTATTATTTTACCCTTTGGCTTTAACGCATTTTTTCCTATTATTTATCCTTTTGGCTTTAACGCATTTTCTTCTATTATTTAACCCATTGGCTTTAACGCAAATTCTCCTATTATTTAACCCTTTAGTTTTATCGCATTTTCTCCTAATACTTAACCTTTTGGCTTTAACGCATTTTCTCCTATTATTTAGGCTTTGGTAAGTATACCCACCACGAACCTCAAATTTTAAATGAAGATGGGAAACCATGTCATTTGTTCGACCATCTACTGATAAATTCAGGGAATACAAAGAAGGGAAAAAAACATTGAAGGATTTTCTTTTAAATAAATGCGGGTAACAATAAAGATTCGAGTGAGATCAAGATGTCAACACTAGAGAGCTACATTCTCTCGTACGTTATGAGCCGTTATTTCAAGGTGCAAGTTTACTGCTAACTCTTTAAAATAGGAAAAGATTTAAATTCTCCCCCCCCCCCCTCAAAAAAAGTTTTAAAAATCAAATTAGTTTTTGGGTAATAATCGAAATGAATTTTATTTAATAAATCAATCTCAATCCCAAAAATATTTAATAATAACATAACTCGAAAAAAAATGGCCAAATAAAAAAGTTTTTCGGAGCTCAGGAGGTTAAACGTCTATCCCTACCGAAAACTCCTCCATGTCTATCAAAAGTGATGAGACCTAAGCTATTCATTCTCGATCTAGCAAAAAATTATTTTATTTTCACGAAAGTCCACTTCAAAAAAATTTTAAAATTTATATTTTATTATTTAAATGTAAATTAAAAGTATATTTATCATGCTTCCAACTTACCTTGCGTTGAAGATACTACAACGATGATCAACAAAGCAATTATTATGCGTAGAGCCATTGTATACAATTGAATACTCAACTTACAATTGAGTTAATATTTCATAAATAGCGAGTAATGATTTGCCTTAACAAGCATTAAATGAGGAAGTCTACAAAGGGGTATATCAGCAACCGGAAATCGATTAAAATGCCCAGATAAAAGACTCTTAACACAAATAACAAAATGTTCAACTACTTATACATTTAATCTCATCAAACAGCTATTTTTTTTACAGCAAGTCCAGTCAATGGGCATTTTTATCACTAAATAGTCCAAGGAAGTCATTTTGAGTGTTTTTCATTTACAAAACATGTACAAATAATAATGCATAATTTTTTTTTTCAAGTCAAGTAATTATTTTTATTGTTAGTATTTACTAATAACTTGTTATATAACTGGAAATAATATAAAAAATATTAAAAATTAATTTTAAACAAATTTCTTTACACATTAATTATTCTTTCACATTTCGACAGTTTTTGGTCAATATACTAAGTTTCAGTCCTTCTAGAGTAAATAAAGACTGAATTATATGAAAAATATTTTAAGAAATGTATCATTAATATCAAACTGTACTTATTTGTTTTATTGAAAGTTCTAAAATAGGAAGAAATTTTTTACGTATCGATTGGTTTCGCTTGGAAAGTTTTTTAAAATTATTTTTAAACTGTCTCTCGTAAAGTTTAAAGTAGCATTTAAAGTAACGCTTTAGAGAAAGTATTCTATTTTTTACTATCATTATATTCTAATAGTTCTGTAATGCAAAATGCACGGTACCAGAGATATTTTATATTCTACGGTATCAAAATGTACAAATCTTAAGGTTTACATTGAAAGGTTTTTGCTGGGGGAAAATAAACCTTATTTTGCTATCTGGGAAGGCTATTAAGGCAACTATTTTTAAGGATAATTGTAATGGAAACTCAATATCTGTCCAATAGATGTTTGATCTTTTAAACTGAACTTTTTCCGTAAAGCACAAAATAAATATATTTAACTAAATATATTATATATATTAACTTTATTATGTATATTAAATGTATTACATATATTAAATATATTATAGATATTAAATATATTAAGAATAAAAAAAATAAACACTTCATCTGGCATTTTGTTTTAAAAATACTGTACTAGCTATAAGTGTATATAAATTGAAACCTATATACTATTTCCTACTTGTTCATTGAATTATTTATTTAAATTCGAAAACATAGATGGTTCATTTCATTTACCATCAATAGCAATAAATATTGAAATTAAAATAATAAAGCATTTTAAGAATTTTTAATTTGAAATATTGAGATTTCCTTGAATTTTGCTTGAAAATGGTCAGAAAAGTCCAGTTCTCCATTTGCAGTATCATCAATAATACTGTCGATATCAGTAGATTCCTTTTTCGCATCATCTAAATGAAATAAAAATCTAATTATGCAGAAGAAGAAAAAATTCAACATTTTTTTAAACTAACGATAATAAATCAGAGGACAACTTCGATATAAAATGCATTGAATGTAAATAGTTACAAATTTAATGGGCGCGTTAAATTTGAATGTTTGAAGCCTGCCGCTCTTCTCAAAGACTAAAAAAAAATTCTCACTATTTGATCCAGAAGTCCCTTTGTCTTCTGGATTGGATTCAAAATTACAAGACCACGGAGTTGAACATTGGTAGTCGTTAAACCGAAATATTGGGTCGACTGTTCAACGACGATTTTAAAATAAAATATGCTGAGTTACGTCATCTTGTGAAGTCATTCCATATATAGTGTAACAGCAATTCTGGTATGACGTAAATTTACAGCATGACTACATAGCGTCAGTCTGCTACAGAGCACATGTTGCAAACCTCGATGACGGTGCTTCCTCAAAAAATTTCAGGACGCAAACTATTGTGGGTAAAATATTCCACCCCACTTTTATAGGTGTTCTTCGCTGATTGTTTTTTGTTGTTGTTGTTGACTTTATCATATACATATATGACTCTATCTTTGCGCTTCATGGAGTCAATATTTGTTTCATGTTCGTGTGTTTTTTTAATGTGTTCAATGTTTTCATCATTCATGTACCTCATGTTCATGTGTTTATCATGTGTTTTTGGACGTGGGCAGAGCTGTTTTTTGTGTGTCGCTCATAGCGTACCAGTTTTTCGTGATACGCGTACTTTTTATTACTGTTTAAGGTTTTTGCAGAACACTTTGCAACGAAAAGAAAATGGGTGTCGCAATTCGAAAATGTCGAGTCTCTGTACCTATAAAACCGCAACCTCATCTTTAGAATTCATCTTTAGAATCTCAAGCTTATATCTCGGAATAACTACATCTCGATTGGTTGCAAGGCAGCTACTGGTCTATAAAACGGGCCATGTTTTTTATCACCACCCCTTTCTCACAACTGTATTTCAATTAGAACGAATTGACCTGCAGTTGAAAGAATTTTTGTAGTTATTTTTTTTTTGTCAGCAGTGACCTTTGACCACGGCCAGCACGACCATTGTAACTATTTTGAAAATTAGCGCGAAGAAAGAAATCGGTTTTCCCTGGCAGTATACAACTATTCTTATGGCCTGGTTTCTTAGGACAGGTCGGCGTTACAAAACGTTAACTTGAAGCGAGAGCTAACCTATGATTGGTCAATTTGTGCGTTAGACAGCATGCGTCATCGAACGCTCAGCTTGAACGACAACTGCAATCCGAATCAATAGCAGTTAGATTACAAAGTAGCGTTAACGACAGAAGCAATGGCGGACAACAGCCAACAGATTCATGAAATCGGCCTAGATTTTGATTTCGAGGGAAAATTTATCTCTGAAATTTAAAAAATGATCTAATTTGTATAATGTAAGATATAAATCATACAAAGATCCCGTGCTTAAAACAATTTGTGGTTACAGTTTAAAAGGTCATTTTCCCCTTGAAGCACTGATCAACAATAGCACATATAAAGTTATAGGAACGAGCTACAAAATCCAAATAGATATTTGTTTACATCATTAACGCATGCGCAATGCGAGATAATGTCTGAGTTGGAACGACTGCTTACGCTGAGCTTGCAAAACAGTATTTTGTTGGGGACACTATTACGTCAACTTTCAACTGACGGGTGGTACCTCAAACGGAGGGTACGTCAACTTCCAGCTGACTCCCAGAGAAGGCCCTTGTCTTAAAAAACCAAGCCTTTACATCCATTTTTTTTGTTGATTCGCGGTCTTATTAAAATTATGTAACACTTTATTTACCTCACTTATCTTCATCTCTTCCATCTGAACAGTCCCACTGACGATTGCAAAAAAATCGTTTTAGAAGGCATTTATTTTCATCGCATTCGGATTTATTTTCATCGTTTCCTCTTCGCACTCATAAGTTTCGCAGTTTTCTTCATCATTTTCGTTCACGAAATTCATTCGACAGTCGCATCGATATTCTTGAGGAACATACTCTTTGTTGCCGCAATAAAATCCTCCACATTCGGATTTTACTGATGGAAGAAACACACATTCTAGAAAGTATGTAACCTTATGGCAACCGTGTGTCGGAATTTTCTTTTTATTGTCACTAAAATGGTTGTACTAAAAACCTTTTTCTAATAAAGAAAAAGTATTGTAGTTTCAAACCTTTCATCTTAAAAGGATTAAAAACTATTTTTTTAAAAAGTATTGTCACATGGGTAAAATGGTCACTAAGGTCCATAATGACGTTTTAGCTGACGTCACACTAGCGATAGGATCAAATTGCGTTGTCCATTAAAATTTCATGACAAGGTGGATTTTAGCTGAGCATACAAGACTTTGCGAAAAGAAACCTTATAATTGCCTAGATTTAAGATGATATTTTCACCTTGAGATTAGCTTTATTAAAGGATTTTTTCACGCTTGAAAACCCTAATTCAACCTCGGTTTAAGGTTTTGATATCGAAGGTTGTTTTCTCAGGTTTTGGATCAGGGTAATGTGCGTAGAATAGAGCAGATAGTCGCAGATCTCGTTTTAAGGTTAAGAGGTTTGCGCGTAAGCCGAAATCAAACCTTTTTAGGTTTATATTAAAAGGTTTTTGCTGGGTGAAAATAAACATTATTTTGATATCTGGGATAGTCAAAAATCATTCTATTTAGAGTTCACAATTTAATAAACTTAAAATGACTCCTCCAATTGTATTATAAAATGCTTAAATTTTACTGTTTTCAACATTTCAAAGATTTATTAATGGATTTTTTTAAAGAATTTTTTGCTTTATGGAGATGGTATGGAGATGATCTATACCATCAGGGATAAGTAACAACATAAACTTAAAACCCAGATATCAAAATAAGGCTTGTTTTTACTCAGCAAAAAACCTTTTAATGTAAACCTAAAAAGGTTTTTAATAAGGTTTACGTATAAACCTTCTAATCTTAAAACGAGATCGGTGACAATAAGCACATTACCCTAATCCAAAAACCTTGGAAAACAACCTTCTATTTAAATACCTTAAATCGAGGTTGTCTTAGCGTGAAAAATTCCTTAAATAAAGCTAGTCGTAAGGTGAAAATAATCTTAAATCTAGGTAAATCTAAGGTTTCTTTTCGCAACGTCTTGTATGCTCCGCAAAAATCCTCTCGTCAACTAAAACGTCACCATGGACCTAAGTGATCATTATACCTATGAGACAATACTTTTTAAAAAAGCTTTAAAAATAATTTTTAATCTTTTTAAGATGAAAGGTTTGAAACTGCAATAGTTTTTGCCATATTTGAAAAAAAGTTTTTAGTACAAACATTTCCGTGACAATAAAAAGAAAATTCCGGTACAAGGTTGCAGTAAGAATTCATGCTTTCTGGGGTTATGTTCTTCTCTTTTGGCCATTAGTATACATGCTTTATAAAATTTCAAAGCGTGTAAACATAGAGTGCAGTTGCAGAATACTACCGACTTAAAAGCATATCTTAGTAAGCTTACGCGTTTTCTTTACTCTCACAGATTATGGTATACATTTAGAGTACTGAAAGGCTCTTCTGCTTTGTTTATTACATTACTCAATACTGTATCTACAAAGGTTTTGCGGTAAAGCTCTTTCTTTGAGATAAAACAACTCTCCTTACCTTAGCTTTTACGTAGGTGCTTTGCTTTATTCAATAATAATTTCCCA